ACACGTGTTTCAGCCGGTTGTATTTTCAACCATAAGCTACCCTTACAAATATTAGAATTAATTATCAGCTTTTCAATCCAGATCCGGGGGATAACAACAGAAGAACGTGAGGCCAGACAAATCGAGGCGTGTTTTTTTCCTCTTAAAAAAAGAAAAAAAAAAACTGAACAAAACCTTGAACAACGTATTTGAAAATATTATTTTACGATCAATGCTAAATTTCTTTCACAAAATTACTTTTTCTTCAAGGGAAAAAAAAAAAGAAAAAAAAAAAAGAAGAATCGACCGTAATCGGGCTCATTGAACGATCCTTTCCTTAGCTGCATAGTATGTGTATGTCAGGGTGACAGTTTTGAATGTCCTTCTCCTAGACCGGTTGCCACCCAAGGCAATAGAATCCCGTCTGTTCCACTATTTACCCATAGCTGAGGGGAGAAGAGTTAGACTCATGCCTTTCCCAGTAAGTCAATGTAATAATCTTGATTGGAATTCGAACTTGGCTCTCCGATTCTCCAATCCGAGCAGCAATCCATTACTCTACCGGTGCCTACCCACGTTAAAGTAGGTGCTCACTGTTCAGTTATCCAGAATTTTGAATTATCCGAACATTTTTCAACCCTTGACCGGATAATCAAGGAAATATAAGTCTCAACAAACTAATGAAGCTTTAAAAACACCACGCCCCCTCCCCACGTTTGTTTTTATGAAGCTTACTAGATTTTACATTACAATCATGTTCACCCGGTACAAGGCCAAGAGCCACTCAAGGTAGTGGGTTATACAGTAAAAGCACAAACCCAAGCATGGTGATAATGTCACCAAGACTCAAGGGGCTACGGGAAGTGAAAGAGAAGGAGAACACTTTAGACTTTAAAGGTGAACCGGAAAACAGATCCTAAACAGACATGCAGAAGTTTGGTGATGCCAGGGACCAACTCCTGATTGGATGCCTCTAAGAGGGGGGGGGGGGCATAAGGCATAGAATGGTGAAAGCTAGAAAGACATTTTATGCAAAAGCAGATGAAACATAAAATAAGCAATTTATTCAAATTAAATATAAACTAATTTTTTTATTTCTCTTTATGATTGAATACTGGGGCCGTCACATCCTCTTCCCTCTCGCACGGTACTGAACAAGGGATAAACTTCTGTTCAAAATACCAGGGAGGAGTGTGAACTGGACGATAGGCAAATGTATCTACTTCTGTGTGCGCTCAATTTGTTCATAGACGAACAAAATTCTCATTGTTTTTTTTACTTGATTATCTGAAAGCAACAGATCAACACAGTGCACAAGTACTCAAATTTCCAGAGTGGAATGTGAGAATAAAAAGGAATATAAAACGAAATTGCAGATTTTTTTTTTTTTTTTTTTGCGCCTTGTATGTAATTTCAAAATCTATTTTCATTGTTGTAGACTTATTCTTCAGCCATCCAGCAAATTAAGTATTTCATTCATACAAGTACTGAGGGGTCGGATGGAAACGTCTGTGACGTCATAGAAACAGGTGAAGAATTCACAGCAGCTCGTAGAAATGAAGTACACTGTAAATAGCAAAATAACCGATTTCTTTTATTACAGGACGACGTGAACAGAGTGAAATGCAAAGAATTAAGTGCCAGGGTAGGGATGAAATGGTTAAAAAAGAGATAGGCTTGAGGCTTCGTATTTGATTAGGTGTTCTTTCCATGACGGCACAAACGAAGCACAATACTTGAGTTGCACGAAACTATTTTTTGGTCAACTTCTACCTTCAAAATGGGACGATGTTTTTTTTTTTTTTTTTTTCAATTTATTTAACGTGAAACTTCCTGGCACTGTAGCAGAAACACAGCCAAGTACAAAACATCCTCGAAAGTTAGAATAATTTTTTTTTCGCGATACAAATGTAAATGACGTCACGGAAATATACGAAGAATTTACAGCAGCTCGCAATCACGCAACAATGCTTTTTTTTTTGGAGGGGAGGACTTTTTTTTTTTTTAACCCTTTCAAAACATTACATTTAACTCCTTTCCATTACACTTTTTAATAAATCAACCGCTTGTTTCGCGATTTTTAATTCCAAAAACTCGTTTGTATGCCTTCTTATTTTGATGACAGATTTCAGCACAGACCACAGAATTCGGGACGTTTACCTTCTTTTTTTGACGTTTGAATAGAGATTCTTTTTAAGAATATTGCATATTAATGGTAGAAAATTAAAAAAAAAATGAATTAAAATTTTAAAAAAGAACAACTGATTAATAATCTCAATGGAAAACTTTTTCATCTAGTTTTTTTGTCCTCCCTACACTGATTTAATTTTCATTAACTTCTCTAATTTTAGTTCCATATGACAAACTCGTTTATTTAGGGTCGTATTTTACATGAAAAATGTATGTAAGACTTAACTTAAGAAATTAAACAAGTAAAAAAAAAACATGTATACAGACATGCAACAACATTATGAACAGTATAAAAAAAAAAGTTATAGTAAAATTAAAAAATAATGGTATTTCTTGAATATTTTTTTTTATTGAAAAAAGAAAGCTATTCTAGATAAAGAATAATTTGCAATAAATTTACTATTCCTAACTATGTATGTCGCTAAAAAATATGAGTAAAAAAAAATATTCAAGATGGGTGCGGGCGAGTTAGGTGGTGGGTACATAATCTCATTAGGGGCCCCTAAAAAGGTCATAAAACCGACCCTGCCGGAATCGTTTTCATGAAACGAACATTATGATCTACTTTTGCGGATTAATCACTATGCAGAAATCAAAATAATTGTTTTAGAAAAATTAAATTTAAAAAAAAAATTTTCTTAATTACAACAGACAAGGAAAAAAAGATTTTCATTTAAAAATGTCAATTGAAAACTAAAACAAATTGACTTTCCACTTTTCAGAAACAAATTAAGTTATTAAACATCTGCGCTGCCGCAAGATAAATTTACGCAGGAATGTCTAAAGTTTTTAGGTAATTAAGAATAAAAATAATCTTGTAAGAGAAGAAGAATCAAAAACAAGTGTTTAAGTTTAAATGACAGACTCCACAACAGACGGATTTATCATTAACGTCCAAATGTATTTTAAGTGGATGTACTTAACTTAAATAAATAAAAATGAAATGAGTTTTTTTTTTTAAAGAGAGTCGGCGCTTCGTATAAAAAAAAGTAAAGTTAAACTAACAGATGGGGAAACATTTCACTTTCAGCTGGAAAATGAAAATATACACGGTGTTTTTGTGTAATAATGGATTATTTGAAAGATCATAAGTATTTTTTTAGCTGGTCTCAAGATTAAATTTTTCTTTCTTCAAAACGAGATCTTGCATAGGGATTTTTTATTAAAAAACTCAGAAAATAACTCAAAGAAAAAGTTTAAAAATAAAACTCAATTTTGCAAAGATTAAAGTTGTTTTTTTAAATAGCGAAAAATAAAATTTTAAAATACGGAATTTAAAAAAATTGTCAGCTCAAATGTCAAAAATGTTACAAAATTGAAGGTAATGTTGGAAAAAAAACTATTTGTAAAAAAAAAATTAAAGACTTGCAATTAGGGATGAAGATTTTACATCCCTAAAAGTTTTTTTTTTTTTTTATCTTAACCAAGCTAACATACGTGATTCAAGTATAAAGTAGATTACAAAAAAAATAAATAAATTAAATACCTTGGGGGTTAAAAAACGGTAGTTTCTTTTAAGTTTATAAGTGACCTTAATCTTTTTTAACTTTGAAAAAGCTTCAATCAACTATAAGACAATTTTAATTTTACTGCTACTATTTTTCAAATTTTAATTTAAAACATCAAAGTTATTAAATTAAATGAAATTTAATTTTTCAGGAGTAAAATGTGAAATTCACGTATTCCTTTATTTATTTATTTATTTTAAAGTAAAAAATAAAAATTTAAATGAACAAACATGAATTTTGAATTTCCAAATAAACAAAAGTTAAATACCACGTGTGAAAAATGTATGTTCGATGTTTAATTAATTATTTAATATAGAAATTAAACATTTAAAAAAAAAAATAAATAAATAAAAAATTAAAATGAAATTAAATTTAGGTTAAAAATATTTTTAAATTGAAAAGGCCACATGAAATAGTTAAAAAAATAAATGACTTCGAGGAGAAAGTAAATGGTTTTATGAATTATTATTATTATAAATACAAAGACTTCAAAGCATTTTTTTTTTAATTTTATGACATTTTTCAGTTAATTCAGCGTCCATGAAATAAAATTCAACTTTTTTAAACAAATTTCAATATTTAAAAAAAAAAAAAAAAGTGTTTTAATTAAAGAAATAAAAAAAAACATGCACTGAAAATGACTTTTTAAAATTATTTAGGTTTTATAATCGAAACAAAAATATTTACAATTGAATAATAACAATTTAAATTAGGTTAAACAAAAAAAAAAAAAGTTCACCTGTCTGTCCATTACAAAAAAAAGCAAATTAAGGAATAATCAATATCACCTTTAATTTCTAAAAGGCAACTTTTTATAGGCGGTTAAAAAATATTATAAAATCAGGAACAATATTTATTTAGAGTAGAAAATCTTAATCTTAAGTTTTCTTGACATACTTTAAATCTTTCATTAAAGTAAAATAAAAAAAAATGCGACTAGAAAATAAAACTCGAAGGTAACAACGGTAAGAAAAGGTTGAAGATGCGTAATTTAAAACTTTTTTTAAAATTCAGGCCATAAATAAAAAAAAAAAAAAAGATGACAAATTATATCAACAAAGTAAGTATTTTGTTTTTAATTATCAGATACCAATTTAATTTATCACTTGATTATTAAAAAATATAACACAAGCCAAAAAAAAAAACCCCGATTCGTTATTTTAAAAAAAAAAAACATCCTAAGGTAGCTAGCGTGCGAGAAATGTTTGCTTTCTTTTTTTAGGGAAGAGATTGCTTCAAGAAGCAGCTTTAGACGAGAAAGAAACATTTCGGGAAATGTTAGCAAGTTATTAAAAAATATGGATATATGTATCAATAACTTACATGAAAAGATAAAGCGGAGAAAATATTCGGTATCATTAAATTGCCCAGAAACGAAAACAGATTTTTCGAGATAAGCAAACTGAACTCATTTGAATTTCGCTCACTTCCCAGAATGCACCGCAAACCGGAAGTTGTCATTTCTATTCAAATTATACCTTTTGGGTTATCTTTCTTTTTAAATTCATTTCACTTAGTTTTACATTTTAAAAATAATAATAATATAATATATATATATATATATATATATATATATATATATATATATATATATATATATATATATATATATATATATATATATATATTGAAAATGTATGTAAGACTTAAGAAATTAAACAAGTAAAAACATGTACAGACATGCAACAAGTGGTTGTTATTTTTAAAAGAAATAAACCCGATTATGTTAATTTTTTACGTTTTTAGTGAGAATTTTGGGGATCTTTAATTAATACAAACCTAAAAATTGCTTTACGAAGTTTAATTTCGTAGGTAAATTTAATAAGACAAACATTCCCTAAATTAAATAAAATTTTTTTCGTTTTAATTTGGGAGGATTTTTTTTAATAAAGAAAATGTCATTAGATGACTAAAGAAGGGCGCTAATCAGCTATTTTTTATTCCCCCTCCCTGTCAAAAAAAAGTGTATCGGACTCCAGTCAATATCATTTCTGATAGAACAACACTACAGAGTATTTTGTTTACTGGAAATAGTAAATTTAATCCTTTAGCTTTCAATTAAAGCTAAAATGAAAGCTTCAAGAAAGTTTTTTTTTAATTTTTAAAATTCATTTTATTTTTAAACCTGAGGTATCGAGAATTAATCACTAGTGGACGTACTTTGAAAGTAGAAGAAACGATAAATAATTGTTTCCTTATTAAAATAAAAAGTAATAATTTCTTATGATAAATTCAAATTGCATTGATCACCGTTAATTTATTTTTTTTCTACGGCTAAAACTAAAAGCCCTTATTAAGTTTTCTTAAAAATGGTTTGCTTTTTTTAAAACATATTTTTAATAAAAAAAATAGCAAGGGTTTAAGCAGGTTAATGCTTTTAAAATGTAATTATGAATAGTTTACTTTGTAACCTCAACAAATCAACAATAATAACAGTTTTATGTGATAATTAAAAAGTTGAGTGTCTTCTTTTAGTTAGCACCTCTTCTTCAGAAAACTGATTGCCCTTTTTAATTACAGCCTTATCTCGAAACTAAATAAATGAGGTTTATGACTATTATTATCCATTTTATTTTTATCCTTTCATACGATAAAACTATTTTTAGAAAAATCATTTAAAGGTCTGGCGATGACGGGTGGTGGGGAGCTAATGTTCCGAGAAAAGCTTTATTTTTTATTTTAAATTCAGTCTATTTTACCGCCAAAATAACAAAGAGACGTGATTTATTTTTTACATGGTCTTATTTTCTGTGCAGGAAAAAATTATTTTCCAGTAACATTTAAAAAATACACATAAAAAAAATAAATAAATATAAACGCAGAAACAAATATGAATAATTTATATTATAATTATTATAGAGCGGCGAAATTTTGTCGCGACCAAAAGAAAATTGTCTTCTCTCACTGTTAGCAACAAGGCGGGGTACATGTGCGTGTACAATGTAGGTCCCTTCTTGAATGTCGCTGTCCAAACTAATTTTGAAATAATTCATGTCCTCCTTCTTAATCAAAATCAGATTTCATTTATCTATTCGTTTTTCTATTTATTTATTTTACTTACGGTGAACACTTAAACGGTGAAATTATTATTGTAACATTTCTTTTTTTTATTAGAAAATTAAGAAACTAAATAAAAAAAATAACATCAAACAATATTTAAAGGAGTTGTTGTTATCCTTGTTGTTTTTGTTGATGATGGCTGAGAGCGGCAAATGTCTGATAAGGACATTTTTGTAAAAAACAACAATGAAAAATAAAACAACACAAGATCGATTATTATTATTATTATTATTATTATTATTATTATTATTATTATTATTTCGTCCTTTAATTTCTGGCATGTACTCATTTCTTTCCGGGTCCCGCCCAGAGATCTAAGGTCAGAAATGGCCTCATGATATTTTCCATTGAGCAATTGGAAAAAAAAAAATTACATAAAAAATCTCTTCGTAAGGCGTGGGCTGTATTCATGAGAACAATTTTTTGTAAGCATGGACTCCCAGGAATCCCTTCAATGAGTCTACTGGAATCTTTTCCAATCAGTTCAAGCGTTCCAACTATAACACGGATTGTTAACGTCCTCACGCGCCACATTTTTTTTCGATTTCAAGGTCCTTGTATTTTGATAGTTTTTTGAAGATCTTCAAAGATACATTACAGTCTGCAGGGACTGCCATATCATTTTTTCCAGTCTCTAATAACGATGTCTGGGCGATTATCTTTGATTGTTCTGCCTGTGTATATTTTAAAGTCCCATTAAATTGTTACAGGTCTTGTCTCCGTAATCGGGTCTGGTGGTGTTCATACAATTTTTTTTAGTTTCCTTTCCGTATAAGTTGCAGATGTAGCGGTTGCGATGTTTTTCCACGCCCACATTTTATTCGCCTGCGATTGGCTAATAAATCACTACGACCTTTAGATAGGACAATTTAGCCATCGCAGTTGTTTCTTTCAATCCTTCGGTTATTGAGCTTGCTTGCTTGTTCTGTTAGTACGAATGTAGTGATTGTTTAATTTTTAACCAATCACATATTTTAGTGCAAGATTAAGTTTTCCCGCGTTGTCGTGGGAGCCTACCCTTTTTTCTTAAAAGGGGGCGACTTTTCGCAAGTCGTCAGTAAGATCAGCACAAATTCACGACCTTACTCGTCACATTTCAAACGCACAAACAGACACAGAATTTCGTAATATAAACTTACATTTCTCTCTGTGACTTTTGCCAAGTTCAATCAACCAGAACTCTGTTGATTCAAACCATTCTGTAACACAACGCATTTTTAATTAATTGTATTTTTGTGTTATTTATTCTTAACATGCAAACTTTGCTCTAATATTGATTTCTGCACATTTTTCTCTCAAGAGAACTTTTTTCGAACAATCAATTACAAATCAATCTACAGTTAAAGGGGAACAACTTCTTTCCCTTAATCGATACATTGAACACAATTTTATTGCATGTTTGTTCTTGTATGTTATTTCAATATATATTTGTTGACTAACAATTTGTAGCTATTGTTGTTTACTTGAATCCTGTACGTTGGAAATATCATTAATATAAATAGTATTGGTCTATCTACAAGCCCACCTTTACAATTGGTGATCACGTGGGTAGCCTTTTACACACTGAATAACCTTCCTCATATTTTTTAAACTAGCTTCATAATCTGATATCTATTTTTGGATTTTAAGTCGCGTATCAAAAATAATAGATAAAAAGAACACCCGAAGTTAATCTCATCATGAACAAATAATAATAATAATAATTATTATTATTATTATTATTATTATTTCCTTTGATTTCTGGTGTGTACTCATTTCTTTCCGGGTCCCGACCAGAGATCTAAGGTCAGAAATGACATCATGACATTTTCCACTGAGCAAATTTTTTAAAAAAAAAAAAAGAAAAAAAAAAGAAAAATTTTCCTAGTAGGGCGATCTTCTGGGCAACTTGTATGTTGATATTACCTGGGACACTGTTAAAAAAAATGTCCATTCTTTTTCTCACGAGGCCCAGAGCTTCGATTACTATTGGTACAGTCTCAGGCTTCATTCTCCACATCCTGTTAATCTCGATCTCTAGGTCCTTGTATTTCGACAATTTCTTAATATTTTATATTATTATTATTATTATTATTATTATTATTATTGTTGTTGTTGTTGATTTCTGGAGTTTACACAATTCTTTCCGGTTCCCGCCCAGGAACCTAAGGTTAGAAATGGCATCATGACACTTTCCACTGACAAAAAAAAAATTATTTCCACTGACAAAAAAAAAATTATTTCCACTGACAAAAAAAAAAAAATTAAATTACATAGATAAAGCCCTTCGTAAAGTGTGGGCTGTACTTGTCAGAACAATTTTTTGTATCTCCTTGAGGCATGGACTTCCATGAATCCCTTTAATTAGTCTACTGCAATCTTTTCCAGCCAGTCCTAGAGCTCCAACTACAACAGGGATTGTTGATGTTCCCATGTGCCACATTTTCGAGATTTCTATTTCAAGGTCCTTGTATTTTGACAACTTTTTGAATATCTTCAAAGATACATTACAGTCAGCAGGGACTGCCATATCAATAAGGAGGCACTGTTTATTATTATTATTATTACTATTATTATTATTATTATTATTATTAATATTATTATTATTTCCTTTGATTTCTGTTTTATAAAGTTTTCCTTCCGGTGTCCCGCCCAGAGACCTTAGGTCAGAAATGGCATCATGACATTTTCCACTGAGGATTTCTACAAAAAAAACACATTATTATTATTATTATTATTAACAAGTGGCTGATGTCAACTTTTATTTTGAGTCTTAAATAAATTTGAAAAATAAAGAAGTCAAGACAAAAAAAAATAAAAAGGGGAAGGCCATACGCAGCATAACGTTGTTTTTTATTTTTATTTATTTATTATTTTTTTTGCGCTAACTATGATTTTGATTTCAAGTTCAAATTTAGCTAAAAAAAGTCACTCGTGTGTATCGACTGAATAGTTGACTCGTCTTTCAAGGCCACCGAGAGAAAACCAGTTTCCTTCCTCATTCCTTTTCCTACTTTTGTGACGTAGATATTAATAATTATTTTCTAAGTTTCGTATTTTCTTTTCTCGACATAAAGTGCGTAAATCTGTCCATATATCCGTGCGCTTTCGGCTATTCTATTAGCCATTATAAAGGACGGTTTTTAAACTGAATATGTTGATTTTTATATGCGTATCTATAATGATGGGAATGTTTTTTTTTATTTCATTTTCCAAACACGGACAGCACGTTGTGGTCGTGTTCACAGTTGATATTATTGAAATGCTGGACTCTTCCGTCGTTTTCGATGAATGGGGATGCCAAGCAGCTCAGTTCTTAG